TGACTGATCGGGTCCCTTTTTCCTCCTCCTAGGTTACGGGTAAATTCCGGGGAGGTGTGAACCCCTTCACCAATGGCTGCTGTAACAATGTCAGCCGTGTACTCTGCAGTTCCCCAGCGCCCAGGTACATCCACCCTTTGGTCTAGTGTTCATTTTTCATCAAAATATATGTTTTCTTTGGGCTCATTCTATTACAGGGGAGGTCTGGTGGGTGACTGTCTTTAGGAAGGGTGCTCTTAGAATGGGAAGTGCCTGCAAGGAGGAGACGTGCCATCCTTTGGACCCTGTGAGTTCAGTTGATATTCGTCAGATATTTTGTATGATTACTCTCCTCTGAGAGTTGAGATTTACTCCAGAGTGCTTGAGCTAGGTATCTGCCCAGAGGCCTAATCTTGCTGCAGTTCTTCATGGAATCAAAGAAATCAATTCAGTGTTGACCTTTTCACTGGCCTTCTAGGACTGTTTCTTGTGTAAAAATGCTTTATTTGAGGTAGGCAACCAAGAGATACGCTGGAATGAATGAATTAAAGCCCTTACTCTCGACACTCAGGTATTTGGGGAGACCAAAGAAAGAGAAGACAATTGTAATCCGACCTCCCTTCATTCGACCAGAAATGTCAGATGGGCAGATAACTGTGAAAATCATGGACAATGGCATCCAGGGAGAGCTGAGGAGAAGTAAGGTGAGGAATTTAGGGTAGTAAAGCTATATAACTTAGGGACTCTCACTCATGGCAAAGAGATGGAATCTTGCTTTTAGTTGACATCACATAGTATTTATCACTTTCTGATTTGTGTTAAAATTATGTAAATACATATCTTCTTTTCTCCATTAGATTGTAAGTTCATTGACATTAAAAATCGAGTCCATTCATGTCTATATCTTCATAGGACTTAACATAGCAGCTTGCAGATGGTAGGAGCCCAACAAGTAGTTGTAGTGAAAATGAAAAAAAAAGTGACAGGATTAAACTCTTGTTGAAAACTTTTCTTTATCTAATACTGTTCCCAAACTAACTCTTTCCGTATCTTTCAGTCCTTGTTTAGAAATATATGGTAATTGCCTCCCCAAAACCCCTTGTATACTAGTTCAATACTTTGGGTTGCCCTGACACCAGGTTTGCCAATCTGATTTTCCCTCCTGTGTCCAGTCTAAGGGAAGCTTGGAGATCACAGAGAGCCAGTCTGCAGATGCCGAACCTCCACCTCCTCCTAAACCCGACCTGAGCCGTTTCACGGGGCTGCGAACACACCTCAGCCTGGCTACTAATGAGGGTAAGGACTGTTGCAGGAGTGAGGAGGTGACTGAACAGGCAGGCAGAAGGCTGGGAGAGAATACTTGTGCTGTGGCTGGGAATGCCTGACAAGTGGTACTTGAGCCACTTCTTTGGACACTGAGAGAAAGGAGATACTACTTAGCTCTTGGGCATTTGTTGGGGGAACTGTCAGCTCTAGACAGACCTGTTTGGTGTATTCTCTCATGCTAAGTTCTGGCCTGGTATGAGTCGTTAGTCTTGATATTAGCAAAATCACGTTCCTAGGACTTGCCCTTTGCTGGGGATAGCGAGTCCTCCCTTGTTCTCCCCTGTACTTAGGAACCCTAGTCAGGTTAAGAGAGCAGCCTGTAAAGTGGTGCCCTGGGCCTTTCTTCTTGCAGATAGCAGCCTCTTGGGCAAGGACAGCCCCCCCACACCTACCATGTACAAGTATCGGCCAGGCTACAGCAGCAGCAGCACATCAGCCGCTATGCCTCACTCTTCCAGCGCCAAGGTACTGAGTTCTCTCTGAGAAGCAGGTCGTAATGTATGCCAGCTGTTGTGGAAAAAAGAAGATTGGGAGAAGAGAAAGAAGAGGCAGAGGGAGGAAAAGAAACCAAAGGCATTTTACTAATTGTTGGTGTTGGTGGGATTGAATCTCCTTGATAATCTTAGTTCATCAAAGGGGACAACTAGCATAATAGGTAAAAGCAGATTACAGCATCATACCTGACTTCAGAACCCATCAGTAAAAGTTACTTAACCTCTCTAAGCCTAATTTTCTGTACCTTAAGATGAGATGATTTGTCCAACTGATAGATTTGCTTTAGAGATTAAATAAGATAATGCATGTAAATGTTCTAAACTTATTGCTGGCACCTAAGAGATAGTTTTTGACCGACCCTTGGGCCCTGGGGCCTTGTGTCTGTCACACGAGGAACACTAAGAACCTGCTTTACTTTCTCCCCCAGTTGAGTCGCGGTGACAGCTTGAAGGAGCCCACCTCAATTGCAGAGAGCAGCCGCCATCCCAGCTACCGCTCAGAGCCCAGCTTGGAGCCAGAGAGCTTCCGTTCTCCCACCTTTGGCAAAAGCTTTCACTTTGATCCACTGTCCAGTGGCTCACGCTCCTCCAGTCTCAAGTCGGCCCAGGGCACAGGCTTTGAGCTGGGCCAGCTGCAGTCCATTCGTTCAGAGGGCACAACCTCCACCTCCTATAAGAGCCTGGCCAACCAGACACGCAATGGAAGTCTGTCTTACGACAGCCTGCTCACTCCTTCAGACAGCCCTGATTTTGAGTCCGTGCAGGCGGGGCCTGAGCCAGACCCGCCCCTAGGCTACACCTCTCCCTTCCTGTCGGCCCGGCTGGCCCAGCAACGGGAAGCCGAGAGGCACCCACATTTGGTGCCAACTGGCCCAACACACCGAGAGCCCTCACCAGTTCGGTACGACAATCTGTCGCGCCATATCGTGGCCTCCCTCCAGGAACGAGAGAAGCTGCTACGCCACTCACCCCCACTCCCAAGCCGTGAGGAAGAATCAGCCTTGGGGGACTCTGGCATCCAGTCAACACCAGGCTCAGGCCATGCTCCTCGTACTAGTTCCTCCTCAGATGATTCGAAGAGATCACCCTTGGGCAAGACTCCACTGGGACGACCTGCTGTCCCCCGTTTTGGCAAGCCAGATGGGCTAAGGGGCCGGGGGCTAGGGTCTCCTGAACCAGGCCCAACTGCCCCATACCTGGGCCGATCTATATCTTACAGCAGCCAAAAAGCCCCACCTGGGGTCTCTGAGACAGAGGAAGTGGCTTTGCAGCCGTTACTGACACCCAAGTAAGTATTATTAGCTCATCTTGGCCCTCAACAGACTTAAAATTAGCATGCCGCCCCCTGCAGGTGTCAGGACTGGGCTGTACATTCTAGTACAGATGGACCCAGGATTAGCCCGCTTGTAGATAGATAGCTCTTCATTTTCACTCTCACTTCAGCTGCCTTCATCGGCCATTCCAGTTAAAAGACTGAAGATTAATACTTCTTTCTTAATCCCATCTTCCTAAACAGTAATGTATTTGTCTGGGAGCAAGGTATGCAAGATAACTGCTATTGGAGAGAAGAAATTAATTGAGGAATCAGGGTTTTAAGCTGAGCAATAAAACAAGGGAATGGTTGGGTAAGAAAGTGCATATGTAGAAATGTACATAATTTTTTTCTCTAAACTTTTAAAACTATCTCCCTTCTCTGCGTTTTATGTCCCACTTCCTGACATCTCCCTCTCCTTTTCTCCCCAGAGATGAAGTACAGCTCAAGACTGCCTACAGCAGATCCAACGGGCAGCCCAAGAGCATAAGCTCAGTCTCCCCTGGCCCAGGCCAGCCACCTCTCAGTAGCCCCACAAGGGGAGGAGTCAAGAAGGTGTCGGGGGTGGGCGGCACCACCTATGAGATTTCCGTGTGAGCCTTTGGCACCTCCCCTCCCCCACACCTCTACGCCTACACCAAAGGGCCCCAGGCGGCCACCGTCCTTTCCTCAAGGGGCTCCCCTCCCCTGCATGGACATTTTTTAAACCACCGATTCCAAGAGGATGAGGAGCGTTTTATAAAATGCAGTGGAGTTGGGGAGTCGGAGAGTTGGGGCCCTGAGACGGGGTAGCAACCCCTTTACCTTTTAAGACCCTCCCTTCCTTGACCCCTGGACCAGACTCAGTGGACATTTGTGCAATTGCTCGCCCTGGAGGGAACCAGATCATTTTTAAACCAGAAATAATTTTTTTTATTATTGTTACGGATTCTATTTTTTTCCTCTTCTGCGTTACCAGGTGTGTGTGTACATATATATATATATTATAAATATCAAAGAAATTATATATCTATCCCGGGATGGGAGAATGAGGGAGGGATATGTTTAAGGAGGGGGATCTTACTCTTCCCATTCCTCAGACCAGCAGGAAAGGAAAATAGGGGATAGAAGTCTTCCTTTTCCCAACGGTTCCCTCTCTCTTGTCCCGGTTACCAACTAAGGAAATAGCACCCCCTGTCGTTGGTGCTAAGTGATCAGGAAATAAACCAGGGAGAGGCGAGTCTGGGGTCTTGGTCAGAGGAAGGAAGGAAGGACTTGGAGAAGAGAGTTTTCTAGGCTCATTGGCAGTTTCCCCAGGAGAGGGGTCACAGCCCCATGACTTTGGTGGTGGTGGGCAGATCAGGAAAAGAGCTTCGCTGAGCTCCGGAAACAATTTTGGAAAATCCCCACTTCTTGGGGGAGAGGGATTTGGGTGGGCTTCTTCAACCAGCTCCTCAAAGCCTTCCCCCATCTCACACAGTTAACGTTATTTTTAAATCAAAGGCCGGGAGAGAAGAATCCAAAAAGCAATATTTTTCATCACATGCCAAAAATGGGATAGAGAGAAGGAGTGGCAGGCCTAGGCCCCTCCAGTTGTCCCTTGGGGGTTACCCCTCAGCCCACCTCAATATGGTGCTGGGTAGAGGGGATACCTGGGTTCTAACCTCTAACTAGGGGAGACCCCAGCCTCTAAGTAGAGGCCCTTTTATTTTTTATTCTGACTAGCCATTTTAAACCAACAAGGAATAAAAAATCCTGATCTAACCAGCTCCCCCTGACTTGTGTTGTTTTGTCTGGTTAAGGCAGGGTGAGTAATCCCTGGCGGGAAGTTTGAAAATTTCATAAGCTGCTCTGGGCCCGACCCATTTTTAGGCACAACTACGGTGAAAATAACCACTTAAAACAACAGGTCCTGTTTTTATTTCCATGATTTAATTTTAAAAATTCCTGAAAGAAATCTTTTGCAACCACTAAAGCTTCTTGTCATTTCGAAGCTTAGAGAACTCTTTGACTTGTGCCATAGTTGTTTCTTAATACAGAATTTTGTCTCCGGAAAGTAAAGTTCATTTTAGATGCAGCCAGAGGGGAGACAGTGGATGACCCAAGTATGGAAAAGGCAGATGGGAAATATGGGTGGCAGTTCAATTTGCTAGCTCATACTTTGTTTGCAAAAGCAAAAGACCGTACCCTAATCGGTGTCCTCAGGCACTAAATCTCAGAACACTGGCCAGAACCCTTTATTTTCATTGTCTATAACTTTAGTATATAAACTCTTGTGCTGAAATCCTAGATTAAAACAAACTAAATGAGTGGTTTTCTGTCTACTGATCTAGGAACAACCTTGGATTTGTGTACCAGATTTTAACTGTTCTGTGTCAAATGTAGCTTAAGTCAGATTACATTAGCTTGTTTATTCATGGATGTTTTCAGTTACCTGTCCTGCTGCAAAGACTGAAAGACTGAAGGGGTTTATTTTACATTTGCTAGTTTATGCTGCCTTTTTGTTGCCATCTTAGAAGCTTTGAAATGTTTTCACAGCCAAATACTTTCATTGTTTTAACTCAGAAATGAGGCAGGTCAAAAGTTCTTATTATAAAGTTAAGAGAAGGATTTACCTTTGCTTGCCAGATGTTTACTTCAAAAAAAAAAAAATCATAGGCTTGACTAAGAATCAACCTGTTGAAATACACTGGTGACTGTGGGTACTTTTTCAGTTGGCTATTGTTTCAACACAAAATTGACCTAGAACACAGAGGAGCCCTAACTAGATCAGCTCTTCAGATGGAGCCTAAAGATCATCCAGGTGGCTTGGTTCTCAACATTATGGGCAGGGTGTTATGTGTCTGCTGTGGGAAGGTATTAGCAAGCTCTGCCTAAATCTCATTTTGGTTTCCCTGCCTGCTGATGAGATAACTGTAATACAAGACCCAAATCCCCTAAGATCTTAGCATGCCTTAGCTTAAACCCTGACCCTCACAGAAAGGCACTTACCTCTTAACCGGTAGCCACACTTAAGCCAGTTTGATAAATGCAATTTTTTTTAAAAAAAGAAAAACATCATCATAAATCAGATAAAGTCCCAAATCAGACAAATTGCACAAAAGAGATGAGATGAACGCTTCCCCGGAGAGGAAGAGATGTCCACAAGGTAGCTCAGCTGAGCCTTACAAAAGCATGGCCCTTCTCTCACGATGCGTCACTCTAACCGAGCACAGTAGGAGCCGGCTTCTGTTCCAGCCTTCGGGGATGCTTCTAAGGCAGTGTCCGAGAGCCAAGAGGCAGCTTTTGTCAGGTTTAGGACAGCAGGAGGCCATTCTGGCAGAGTCCAGTGGTCCTGTTAGCGGAGACTGCTGCTGCTGCTGGCCTGAGAGCTGCCCATACCAGGGTGGTCGGGACTGTGTCGGTTCTGGGGAAAACAAAAGAGGGTAAGAGAACAGCCTTGATCAGGGCTGCACAGGGAAACACTGCAACATGCCCCGTGTTTTCAATCTTGGGCGCAACCCGAGGCCAAGGACTCTACCTAGGACAGGGGTGGGACATGGGGAAACTTACTGGACTGCAGCACCAGGCCCCTACCCTACCTTCTTTTTCTTCTTCTCTTTCTTCTTCCTTTTCCGCTCAGGATCTTCTTCTTTTTTCTTTTTCTTCTTCTTGTGATCCGAATCAGATGGTGTTTCTGTAGGAGACATTAGGTGCCTATCATCTGTAGAGCTCAAAATTCCCTCCTACTAGGACTGTAAACTAAAGGAAACCCCTAGTCAAGGGCAACTGCATTTCCTCAGATGGCCAGAGAGGATACATAGGCACTTTGCTAAGGCCCCTGTCCCAAGTTCCCACTTGCCCAGGAGACCCCAGTACATCAGTTTCTTCCTTCAGGAAAATTTGGGAGTCCAGGGCTCTTAAGAAACTTGACTGGGTTTTTAACTGAGGAAGGCTGAACCAGATTCAAAATGTCAGGTTTTCTGGCTTTGAATAGAACCGCTTCTTACCTGGGGGGACAGGATCCTGGGTACGACTCTGTTTGTGCTTGTGCTTATTCTTCTTCTTGGGAGGCTGAATATGCATCAGACGACACTGCTCTGGCAACTGAAGGAACCAAAGGAAGGTCCAGGTGAGTGCAGTGGGGAAATTCCCTGCTCCCATCATCTGTTCTGCTCAATAAGCTAGAAGGATAGACTTGGACAGAAAAACCACCTCCATGTCTTTCAGGGCTCCCCATTTGCCTTCTTCCTCCCCAAGAGGGGACTTACCGGGCCAGTGTGGAGGCGGAAGCCAGCCAGCATTGTCCCTGTGATAGGATTGAAAGAGCCACCAAGAATAGGGGGCTTCTCGATGAGGGAGCGGAGGCTGCTGTTATCATGGGAACCAGGCAGATCAATCATCCCTGGCAGGTCAGGCAGAAAGTTGCTCAGCTTCTCTTTCACCTTCTTCCCACAGAATTTGTTATAGGCATGTTCCAGGTTGTAGTGTGTGATCAGGTTAGTGCTGCCTGTCAGCTCCGTGTTGCCTAGAGGCCACAGGGAGAATTTTTTCAAAAGAATATAAACTTATTAGTAATAAGGATCTAGTGGCAAGGGTGGAAATATCCAACCTACAACTTCATCTAGAGTTATGAAGAACGTGAAGGGTAAAATGTTTATAATCATTCACTCGGGAACACTCAGGTCCTGAATCGTGAGGCCCTTGAGGGCAGAGACAATGCCTTGTTCACTCATGGATGGCTGGTGCTCCAAACGCCACAGCCTCGGTGCTCAATAACTATTAAAGGAACAAGGTATTTTTCTCCATACCTCCAGGCCTTACCCTATTCTTTTCCTGGTAATTTTACATCAAACATCCCAGAACTGTGGGCTACTGTTAATGGCACGAGGCTTGTGCCACAACGCCTTTCCTCATAACTTGGTACTGCCTCCTGCCATTACAGTATCCTGATTTTTCCTCTCTTTCTGTCACCTCTCCTCCTTCCAGGTGGTTATGCTCAAGGCTCAGGTGAAAGGGCACTCTGTGCTTTTTCTGAACTCTAACAAGAGTCTATCCGACTTTTAGACTAGTGGTTCTATGAAGATGATTTATAAATTTCTCTCCCCAGCCCTGACTCCTCTCCTGAAAACTAAACTTGCATTTCCAACTTCCTCTTAGTCAATTCTATGCAGATTCTCTCTCTCTCTCTTTTTTTTTTAAATGCCGATAGCACCTGGTGTTGTTCCAAGGTGGTCTCCCATCCAAGTACTAACCAGGCCCGACCTTGCTTAGCTCCCGAGACAGGCGAGATCGGGCACGTTCAGGGTGGCATGGCTGTAGACTCTTTTTTTTTGACTCCAAATCTTCCTCACATCATTCATGGTTTCTCTACTTCAGAACATAGCACGCTCATTCTCCAGGTATTTTTAGAAGCACTACTCCTCAGTTCAAAAATCTCAATGGTTTCCTATCACATTCAGGAAAAAGCTCAAATTCTTTTTATCTGGCACTCATGGTTAAACACATCTTACTATAATTTAGCTTTGAGGCCTACTCAACCACCAGTTCCCTATGCAAAATTTCTGATCCACCCAAATGGGTCTCTACCATCTCCTGAAAAACAAAACAAAACAAAAACAAAAACCACCCCTCATAGTGTTTCCTTTTTGGAAACGTCTTTTAGGAAAATTGACCTAATTATAGGAAAATTCTTCCTAATATTCCTCACCAATATGAATTCTTCAAGGTCCAGCTCAAGTGACCACTTATTC